TTCTCTCCTTAAAGTGTTGAGTTAAAAGTTGTGCAGACATCTCTGATACCTTGTCAATTGGCCATTCTTTCTTCCAGAGCCCGGATAGCAAGTGCTTACAGAATCTAGACCGAGATGACAACACAACAGACTCCAGACTTTTCCTCACCTGGCACCCAAGTCCACATTCAAGCAGAGGTCACTGGATACCAATCAGTAGCAGAAACTTTGGCTAATTTTACATGCCCTAGTCTAGAAGAGTTGAAAAGAGCAAGACCAATCTTCATCTCTTCTGGGCATGGAACTGATCACTCTAGTTGCCTCAACCTACATTCCTCGGTTGTGAGTATCAACCTGATCATTACAATTGTGCTGTGCCATTTATTTTCAACACTATACCTGTTGAACTGGTTACATTAGTGTCCGTCTTCCCTCACCTCCGCAACATCGCCAGGCTCCGCCACTGTCTTACATCGCAATCCGCCAAGACCCTCATACACGTATTCATAACATCCAGCCTCAACTACGCAAACTCCCTGCTTGCCGGCCTCCCCACCTCTCCCTCCATAGGCTGCAGATCATCCAGAACTCTGCAGCCCGTGTCCTCTCCCGCACCAGGTTCCGTGACCCTATCATCCCCATCCCCGCCCGACTCCACTGGCTTCCCATCACACAGAGGATACAGTTCAAGATTTGGTCCTCACCTTCAAAGCGCTCCATGGCCTTGCTCTCCCCTACCTCTGTGACCTCCTAACCTCCTACCAAATTGTCCACTCCCTCCGCTCAACAGGCTCCAGCCTGCTTCATGTCCCCTCGCTCGTCCCACAATTGGTGGGTGGGCCTTCTGCAGTCCGTCCACCTTGCCTCCTCCCTTGCCTCCTTCAAAAAAAAAACATCTCAAGACCCTCCTCTTTGACCATGCCTTCGGTCACCCTTCTTCCCTCCAACCCTGCTCTGCATCCTCCCCGATTCCCAGCTCAGGTCCGAAACACTGATTGTCCAGCACCTTGGGACGTCCTCCGGACATGAAAGGTACTTTACAAATGCAATTTTGTTGTTTTTGTCTTGATTCAGTCCAGGGTCCATTGAACCTACACTGAGGCCAGGTATCATCCTCAGCATAGATTTAGGATTGGAACTGGGAGCCATCTTGCATATCTCAACATTTACTCCAAGGTCGAATATAACAAGAATGGACAGATGGCATTCAGGCAAGATAGAGAGACTGTAAAAGTGAAAGGATTACCTTATATTTCAGGAGAACTGAAGATTAAGATAGTAGAGTTAGTATTGCAGGATAAGCCATGGCATGAAATTCTCTGATTCAATGTCTTTAGTAAGAAAAGGTCTGTCTCAAAAGCCATTTGTGGATTATGATAAACTAAAAAACCATAGTAAAGGGAAACACTCATCACTTAACAACAGTAATAGTAAAATGAGTAAGACATGGAAAGTAGTACAAATTGGGAACTTCAAATAGACCAACATAAACTGGTAATGCCCAAGGGAAGATCTCCTGGCTTTTTAATGTAATGCATGACTGCTTCATGGCTCACTGTGTCAAAGATGGTTTCCAATTGTCGTACAAGATTCAGACGTTGAGTCTGAATCATTATGTCTGAATCTGGGACTGGGGACGGGGATTCTTCCTATATCCTGTAAGCCAAAGCTCTAATGGTATTCCTAGCTAGACAAGCAGCTTGAAGCTTGCAGACAGTGCTCTCAATGTCTGTGCAGTTTTAGCTGATTCAACTCCACCAACTCTCAACATAGACTCTGGAGTTTCCCCAAGCTTTGGCTCATCCAAACCTGGCTAATAATCTCCAGAATTAGGTAAGAATGGTGCATCTCTCCAGGGAGAAAATACACACTCCTTTCCAGACACAAGGAAATTTCCCCGTGTACGTGGATAGATAAATTTGGTGTTGATGCTTTTAAGCATGGTGATGGGCTTCCATATGCATCAGATACATGACTGATCAAAAAAAAATCCAGACTTTATTCAATGAGTAGTGGAATCATGAGGCTGCAGTGACCTAAGAATGACGTGGGTGTGTAATTCTTCCCACCACTGTAGTTTTGCCAGTAGCTCAGTGTAAATGCAGCACTGTAAAAAAAAACTAGGTAAATTCAATAACCTGACTTCAACCACGGCAACATTACATTCAGAAGCCCTGACATAGGTACAGAGGGCCAATGAGTTAGGGTTCTAGCTACTAATGTGCACATGTAGTGATCATTTGAGGATGGCATCAGAGATATCTGTGATCTATCTTACACACTGTCAAATAGCTGCCAAAGCAAATCCTCTTGGCCATTTAGTACCAGAGCACTGCTAGTGCCAAACAAACACTACCTATTCAAAGCCACTGATTTGAAGAGAGGAAAGAAAATTCAGGATGAAGAGGGAAGCTATATACATACATGTGAATTTTGTTTATTTAAATTTAGTATTAGATTTTCCCAAGCTAAACAATGATTGTATTCTTTGGGAATTCACACTAAAAATTAAATTAATGATTTATTCAGCAAAACTTTAAAATATCTCCAAAGATACCTACACAAAATGAGCCATTTGAACAATTGCTATAAATAAAACAAGTAAGATTAGGATCCCTGATGTAGACAAGCTGCTTGACAAGGGACAGGTCATGCACTTTCAGCACAGCTTGTTGAGAAATACCACATCGGGCGGCAGGATTTGTTCCACTATTGACTTATGCAATACAGTACTACTTCTACAACTCAGAGGTACCCTCCAAATTACACATCAACTAGCCTCACCAGAACCAACCATCTGCAGTACAGAACAATCATAGACTAATTTCCTCCCTTTTTAACAGCTACTATTTTCAGTGACAGGAAACACAGAAGGCTGGAAACAACACCATGGGTTCAATTAACAAACAAGGAATAGAGAGAAGTCTGAAATGGTCCTTCAAGACCACCACTTGCAAATTATTCAGGTTAAAATCCTGCATTTCAACCCTCATCACCCATAAACTCCTAAAATTCCACTCATCCTTTGAAAGTTGAAAACGGCCGAAACAAGAGCCCCATCTCTAGACCTTCTGGCACAAGATAAAGGCAACAAACGATTAGGACACCAGAACAAACTCCCTTCTCTTTTCGGTATAATGTATCTATTGTATCTACCTTCTTAATATTTTGTGGGCTCTTTAACATCCACCTAAACAGGCAGACACGACCTTGGTTTAAAATCTCATCCAAAGGATGGTGCCTCTTACATTGCAAGGCTCTTCAAAACTGAAGTGCAGCAGCAACAACAACAAGAAGAAATTGCATTTATAGAGCGCCTTTCACGTCGGGAGGACGTCCCAAGGCGCTGGACAGTTGGGTCGGGACCCGAGCAGGGGGGAAATGGTCAGGGTGAGGGGAGGGAAGGGACGGGGCGAGGAGGGGGTAGAGAGTCGAGAAGGAAGCTGAAGGCACGGTTTAAGAGAAAGGTCTTGAGACCGGCCTTGAAGGAGGAAAGGGAGGAAGAAAGGCGAAGGCACTGGGGGATGGAGTTCCAGAGCCTGGGGGTTGAGAGGCTGAAAGCCCGGCCACCAATGGTAGGGCGGTTAGGGCGGGTGATGTGGAGTAGACCGGAGCCAGAGGAACGGAGGGTACGGGCAGGTAAGTAGGGGGTTAGTAGGTCGGAGAGGTAGGAGGGAGCAAGGCCGTGTTTATGACCTCAAAGTTCCAAAGTGGATCTTGAACCCACAATCTCCTGACCCAGAGAAACGGCTGCTGTCAACTAGGCCTGGTGGGTTGTACATATCTATAACTAACTTGAATTCCATCATGTAATTGTATTGCCCCTCAACTCAAGAAAGTGTGTACTCAAAGAGGAAGACTGTTTAGATTCCTTTCCCTATCTCACCCTCTCCACAGTTGAGACCTTCATCTCTCACATAAAGGTAAGACATTTCAAAAAAACGTCCTTGCTAGCTTCCCTGGTTCCATGCGTCACAAGATACAACTCATCCAAAATTCTGCAACTGCAGCCAGACTCCACACATATTCATAATCCTCACCAGACTGCCCTGGCTCCCAGTACCCCGGTCAATCAACTAAGACAGTCTTCCCTCTCCCTACTTATGCAATCTCTTCAAGTCCATTCTCCACCTCACGTCTCCTCTTTTCCAACTCATTCCCTCCATCTCAGCATCAGGGGTCAAACCTTCTGCCACTCTGCCACCCCTGTTCTCTGAAACTTTGACTAATATGAGACAATTTGTTTAATACAATTATCATTAAACATTTGCTTTTTTTCCTTTCTCTCAACTCTTTTAAATTCATGCTTAACTGATGAATGCTTGAATTAATTAAGCTGTCATCAATTGGCTCAATTAACATGAAGCAAACAAAATATTTACCCATTTTAAAACAATTTATTTCAACTCCCTCACATGTTGGTAATGTTGGGTTCATTATCTCCTCTGTGACATTTTTTTGATGTGATTTCAGCAATAGAAGTGCTGAAGTATATAGAAGTATATTTTTCGGAAAGAAAAACACAAAATGAAATAATCAAGTTATTTTCAAAGGTCTAATTTCAGATAGAATGTTCACTCAATTTTATTTCCACTGTTCTTGAATCAAAATTCAAGGAAATATTTATGTTCCTATGCAATTTTTGCATAAGGGAAACCAGATATCTTTTAGTCTCAGCAACAAACACATTATGGATTCAATTATTTCCAAAATTTACTAAAAATAAAATTCAGGTTAAATTCCAAAGATGATTTTTCATAAAGTAAAACAAGACATTGAGAGGAGAAGCAAGATATTATCAAAGCCAAACATCATTACATAACAAAAGGGACAAAAAAATGTCTTATTTGATCTCCAACATACATAAACGTCTGGTTTCAACTTCTGCAAATACATTTCTATATTCCAATGAACCCCAAAACTACAAATATTCGGTCATATTGCTCCTTTTTTTCAAATTGGATCACAAAATAAAGTAAGCATGAACCAGAACTTAGTAAACAATGTATTTGGAAACTTACCTGCAGCTCTGTAGAGAATTTTAGGCTCAAAGAATATACAAGGATTTTTATCTTCTATGCATGATAGCAATAATCCCTTGGCCTGTACAGGACTCCTTGGAATAACCACCTGCAACAGACAAAATATTCTGAAAACTTTTCCACATGTTAGTTCTACATTGTCAACTTGATGACCAGTCACCTTCAAGTCTAGACGCCAACAGATATTTTCCACTAAAGACTTCTAAATAGAAATGTAGTTTTTCAGAATGCATTAGCAGACTGCTATTCAGTTTGAAAGCTTCATATTTAGGTTAGACCACTGTAATGAATGGCTATTTCATAGATTGTCAAGACTAAAAAACTTGCAACACCAGAACAGTTTGAATACAGTAAAACTCATATATGTGGTATCAGTCGAGACCATAGCATTTAATATGACTTACGTGAAGTCCACGTTGCAGGTAAACTTGTATAAGCCATATAAAATCCAATTTAATTAATAATCTACACTGCGTATGCGTAATTCAATATAGCCGGTATGTGTTCATGTGGTACTTTGTCACTACAGCCAGTAGGTGCGCATGCAATGATAAATCAAGACTACATTTACAGCGATTCAATGGGTCTTGACTCATCGTCACGTGCGCATCATTCTCCCCACCCTTTATGTTGAGAAGCACCTCCTAAATTCCCTTTTAGATCTGCTACTGACCATCCATATATCTTATCTTGGTTATAATAATAATTCTTAATAATAATCCTTGTATTTTTGCACCTTTCAAGTCAGGGGAATGTCTCAAACGTTTCACAGGATTTATTGTACATTGTAATAATTGTGTATTTTATGGACGAACATGGCAGCTAATTTGTGGATACCAACAGTAATACAGTTCTAGTTTAGGTATTTGCTCAAAGAATATGAGTAAATTAATGAGATACGATCAATTGCCTTCTAAATCCGTGCTTATAAACTGTTCTTAGTGTTTTTCAGCTGAGATGATCTCCAGAATTTTCTGCACTGTTTTTTGTATTTCCCTGGGCCTCACTCAGAAAATACAAACATCAAATTCACTTGTATGAAAATAGGAGGGCTGAGCAAAAATGGAAACAAATCAAGGTTTAATGGCCATTTGTTTAAATTATGAACTAGAACAAAGAAGAAATGCTCCCCAATCTTAAAGCAAGTTCCTAATGGAAAATGTCTACCTATGGAAATGTCTACCTACAACAAGATTCCATTTATAGAGCGCCTTTCACGTCCGGAGGATGTCCCAAGGCGCTGTGCAGTTGGGTCAGGACCCGAGCAGGGGGGAAATGGTCAGGGTGAGGGGAGGGAAGGGAGGGAGCGAGGAGGGGGTAGAGAGTCGAGAGGGGAGCTGAAGGCACGGTCAAAGAGAAAGGTCTTGAGACCGGCCTTGAAGGAGGAAAAGGAGGAGGCAAGGCGAAGGCACTGGGGGATGGAGTTCCAGAGCCTAGGGGCTGAGAGGCTGAAGGCCCGGCCACCAATGGTAGGGCAGTTGGGGCGGGGGATGTGGAGACCGGAGCCAGAGGAACGGAGGGTGCGGGCAGGTAGTTAGGGGGATAGTAGGTCGGAGAGGTAGGAGGGAGCAAGGCCGTGAATGGCCTTGTAAGTGAGGATGAGGATCTTGAATTCGATCCTCTGGGGGATGGGAAGCCAGTGGAAGTAAGCGAGGGTGGGAGTGATGTGGTCGCGAAGCCTGGTGCGGGACAGTACACGAGCTGCAGAGTTCTGAATGACCCATCTAATGAATGACCTACCTACCTAATAAACAAAATTTAAACCCCTTGCTGAGTGAGACTATCGGTTTCTTAGTGTTTTAATATAATGTATTTAGATAGTTCACGTTTATTCTCCCTTGTACTTACCACCATTCAATTTAACACTTCCTGAGTTTTGGTCTCTCTTTTAGAACGTATTCATATGCAACCTAACGCACAGTAGAAACCATCATTACATTAACTGACACATGCTGTTTCATCTCAGTCTGGGAAGAGTAGCTTTACTTTCTACAACTGTGCAATAAACAAGATGTCAATACTTTTTGTGGAAGTACTAAGTTATAGAATGCAAGAGATAACAAGCTTCATTTTAATGCCAGAGAAAAGCAATGTAGGACTATTAGTAAAGTACAATACATGAATTACATTAATTACGGTCCATACTGTTAAGTTTTGAAAAGCTATTGTATCAAATGGTAAATTTACCACTATTGCAGAAACTACAGTAAATAATTTGAGTTTTTGAAGCCACAAAAAACCAAAAAGTTAGTCTTTTGGGGTTCTCATTGCATTCAGTCCAGTTTTTAAATGAAACAAGATGTGGAAAGTAAAAAAAAATGTTATTGTACTAAATCATTTCAAGCTTATTGGAGACACTTGGAAGTGGAAAGCCCACAATCTTGCATATCATCCAATAAATTTAATTTCCTATTAAGTTCCATAAAAAACCTAATTAGCGTTAATCAATTGAACAATATGAAACTTGCTGTGCCACTTCACTGGAATCCCAATTTGCAACATCTAAGTAACCAGCAGTGAGATTTAATTTCACCTTCATTTTCAGAAAAAAGGAAAAATACACAGGGGCCAATGAATCCAAATGTGAAACACTTCAGATACTTTGTGAAGAGTTAATTCAGATATTCTGTAAAGAGCTTTGAGATTATTATTATTATTAACAAGTTGTGGTTTTTATTTTCTGTGACAGGCGTTTCTATAATAAGTGTAAATATATATTCTATATATCAATAAACATATATTTTGTTTTTAAATATTTTTAATTCAGGAACATAACAACAACAACAACAAGATTCCATTTATAGAGCGTCTTTCACGTCGGGAGGACGTCCCAAGGCGCTGTACAGTTGGGTCAGGACCCGAGCAAGGGGGAAATGAAGGCAATGTTCTGACATTGAAAAAGGGCAATGGACAGGAAAGGCAGAATTTGAAACTACGATTGGAGATAAATAGAGGTGGTACACCCCTTAAATTCAAGCAAAGTGATTAATGCATGAAGGTGCTGTCAAGAACCAAAGAAGAAAGCTTCAATTCTCTGAATTTCTGAGTCAATTTTTTTGGTCAGTCAGGTATCTGACCTGTTGAAACCCCTTAACATGCTTAACAATATCCAAACCAGCAGAATTTCACATATAAGCCAAGAACCAAAGCCAGGAGACCACAGAGTGTTGAAATTCAACCAGCTAAAATGGCAGGCTTCCCATTACTTCTCCAGCTAAACCCACTATCCCTCCCAGTGAATGGTCTTCCCTTCTAAGTCCTTCTGATTAGCCAGGCTAGCTGATAAGTCATCAGCAGTACCATGGAGACATGTGGATCATATGCCTGGCTTAGGAAACAAATTACTCAGAATTTGACAGAAATTTAACTTGCTTCTGACTCCATTGCCAATCATGTTAACCTGGAGCTAGCTCAGCTCCTGAGACTCCTTCTTATCCTCCTCCCACAATCAGGGCAGTTGTCACATATAATAGCTATGGACTTGGATTAAAGGACGCTTCAGAGTCATTCGTACCTATATATAAGCTAATGAATGGTATACTTATGAGGTGGTCAGAATCTAGTAGTACTCCAACGCACTCTGGGGTCCCCAAGCCTTGGCTCTTGCCAAAGTGCACCTAATGCTTTCCAGAATTAGGTAAGCAGGATGTGTCCCTCCAGGGAGAGAGAGAGCGCGCATCCAATCTAACAATCTATCTCTGGAATTTCCATGAGTAGGTGGAATGCATGGAAATCTCAACTTGATTTGGATACAACAACAACTTGCATCTATATAGTGCCCCTCATGCAGAGAAGCATTCCAGAGCACTTGACAGTGGCGGAGCATGACGCCGAGCCGGGGGAAGGGGGAGGTGACTGTAGGCACGATCGAGCAAAAAGGTCTTCAGGCGCGACCTGAAGATGGGGAAGGAAGGGGCAAGGCGGAGGGATAGAGGAAGAGTGTTCCAGAGTTTCAGGGCTTAGTGGCTGAAACCTCTTAACATGGTGATGGGTTTCCACATGTCAGAAACCAGGCTGACCAAAACAAAATGTTCCGTAAATTTGTGAGTGTAACGCAGATCTACTGATTCTAAATTAAAATCTCATGAGTGGGCTACCGTAGCAAATGACTTAAACATAGCGCAAGTGGAATTTAAGTTCCACCTATCAAGTGTTCAGCTCTAATCAGACAATACAAATTAATCTGGTAATCTAGAAAATGTTAGAAAAGGGAGATGACCTCAATTACAAGTCGTAGTTATTCTTCTGAGGTTTCATTTCAGTGCAGCTGGAGGTAGTGCAAGAAAACTGGTGGATTTAGAATATTTGTACTCTACATATTACCTTCAATGTAAAGATAATATAGAGTACACAGAAAACTTCCAGCAGCATATTTCATGCAAGTAGGCCATAAACCGACACAATTAAATGCAGAATTTTAAAGTACAAGCTTCAAAAATATTCAAAGTGAACAAAATGGAGCAAATCAAGTGCAATTTAAGGACCTGTTCACGCATTACAACGCAATAGATTAATTCATGCCTTGATGTGAAAATTTCCAACCTTGATGCATCTCATTTNAAAAAACCTCATCCACGCATTGATGACATCTAGGCTCGACTACGTCAACTCCCTGCTGGTCAGCCTTCCCAACTCTTGCCTCTACAAGTTGCAGATCATCCAGAACTCTGCAGCTCGTGTCCTGTCCCGCACCAGGCTCCGTGATCCTATCAGCCCACCCTCGCCCGGTTCCACTGGCTCCTCGTCCCCCAGAGGATAGAGTTTAAAATCTTTGTCCACACCTTCAAGGCCCTCCACGGTCTTGCTCCTTTCTACCTCTGTGACTTACTAACTCCATATCAACCTGTCCATTCCCTCTGCTCAGCAGGCTGTGGCTTGCTCCACGTGCCCCGCAGGCTGTGGCATGCTCCACGTCACTTGCCCGGCCAGCCCCACAATTAGTGGTTGGGCCTTCTGCCTCTTTGCCCCCATCCTTTGGAACTCCATCCCATATTCCCCTCACCTTGCTCCCTCCCTTGCCTCCTTCAAAGCACATCTCAAGACCCTCCTTTTCGACCATGTCTTTAGTCATCCTCCTACCTTTCTTGA